TCGGCCCTTCTGACTCCCTCCATCTCAAACTTCACACAACGGAGACCGCTAGATGTATTTTCACTGGCATATTTTTTTATATTAGCTTCAGAAAATGACACTAGTATTTGCGAAGTAAAAGGAGTCTAAATGGGCCATTTCAGCCAGGGTAAACACATTTAGCAATGAGGTCAGAGGCTGCAGCAGTGGAGTCAAGCAAGTTAGATAATTTTGTCAAAATGTTTAACGTCCTGCTAAACCATTTGGGAAAAACAAGAGCGGCAGCTGTGCTGTTGACTTTGGCAGCCAAGTGTATACTCTAGGCTTTAAACATGTAAATCAAAATGCTCCATCTTCAAATGTAAGTAGACGTTTCATACCTGGTTAGTTGTAGGTCCTGGCAGAGATTTGACGTTAGATGGATGGCATAAAGCGTGCTATATGTGTGTATACATTTCTAATCGGGAACCCCAACTCTAATGACTTCCGCAAACAAGAAGACGGACATTTTCTTAACACTGCGTTTTCAGCGCGACTGTATGGGGAAGTTATAATATTACAGCTGACACTAGACTTACTACCCTTACGAAAAAGAAATTTATTCAAGTGTGCTATTAGTATACTACTAGTACACTGATATTTGTATACTTACTACATAAAGTATACTTAAAAATATACTTGAACTTTACTTAAGTATACTTACTAAAATAAACTTGAAGTATACTACTTTTTGGTAAGGGTAGGTGGATAAAATACTAAATTTCAAGCTCAACATTTGCTCATTACTTCCAAAAAAAGTTCATGTCAACCTTCATCTCATGCTTTGTGTGAAGGGTGTGTATAATCTTACGTTTTCGCAGACTTAAACCTTCAGCATCAGTGAATAGCAGAGTCCTCCGTACGCTCGAATATGTCATCGTGACCTTCAGTGCAATAGCATATAGAGTTACACGCGTATCCTCTGAGCTGGTTTCGTTCAGCTCTCATTCCTCTCCAAGTAGCAGTAATTGTTTGTGGAGCTTTAAAATGGCTCGCTAATTTTCTTGAGCTTTTTTTTGCGTTCTTTACGTGACCTGGAAAAACAGCTCACCTCCCAAAAAGGTTTTAAAAAACATGACAACTCACTGCTACCTGGGCACATTTTATGGATGTTGGAGTATTTTTGCTAGAAATTGACGTATCCAATGGGCTTATGCTAACGAAAACGTCACTTTGATTGAAATTTCAAGCTGAAAAAAAAAATATTTACACACATTAACAGTGCATCATGTTTTTGTTTTCCATGGGAATCAAACCCACAACCTTGGCGTTGTTAGCACGATGCTCTACCAGTTGAGCAAACAGGAAGAGAAAAAGAATAAGAGTACAGCTCATTATTGTTTCAATAGGGCCATGTTGTTTACAAGCTCTTGAATAAGTTTCTGTTCTAAGATGTGGGTGAAATTAGTTAATTTACTTAACACTGCACTTTTGCTTTTGTTTAACTATGATAAAGAACAGAAAAATCCCATTTAAATCGGATGCTTTGAAAGAACAGATCTGTTCTATTTTTTTTCTCCTTTTCTCTTTCTCACTTCCAGCATCTCTGTTTGTCACTATACACATTGCGCGTCTTGATGACACATTGGATTTGCAGCTCTGGACTTGGCTGGCCCAGAGGGAAATCATGGTTTTTAATGGGAAACATGTCTCAATTCTGTTAGGGACATATTAGGCTTCATTATATTCGTCTGAGTGTTCCAGAACACTAAACACAGCTGCACTCTTAAAAATAAAGGTGCTTTAAAGGTTCTTCACAGCGATGCCATAGAAGAACCATTTCTGGTTCTACAAAGAACCATTCAGTCAAAGGTTCTTTAAAGAACCATCTCTTTCTTACCTTTTTATAATCTGAAGAACCTTCTTTCGCCACAAAGAACCTTTTGTGAAACAGAAAGGTTCTTCAGATGTTAAAGGTTCTTTATGGAACCATTTAGACAAAAAGGTTCTTCTATGGCATCGTGAAGCACATTTATTTTTAAGAGTGTTGAGGACAGAGAGTAACAGAGGTGCACTCGAAAATCTTTTTTGGGAACACGGTCCAGCTTTAATTACACAGCACTGACACCTCCAAACTGAAGCCGAGAGCACAGAGTTGGTTTATGTTGTGTTAGGGTGACATTGGTTTAATCTAGATTTGCTGGATAAATACACACTGAAGCCAGAGCAAGGGAAGAGCGCAGCCGCACGCATCAAATGCATCGTAAGGTGTGTGTTTTAGGAGCGTGTTACAATGAAAACAAACGCTCTGTATGGACAAGGGAAAAATCTGCCGGTGGTGCTTTGGATGGTAAATAAATCCAGGCCCCTAAATCAATATGGTTCCTACACACAGTGAAAAACACATTAGACAGCACACATTACCAAAGAAAATCTCCTGTTATGAGAAAAACCTTGCAGCATTGCAATAGTAACAAGATCCCGGATGTGACTAGTTATTCCGAAGCAATTTGATGACATCAAAAAGCACACATGTGCATTTCGCAGTTCTTAGATTTTTTTTAAAAAGCTCGTTATTATTCAGGTGTATTTTTCAGAGACTCTTTCTGCTAGTTACATTGTTACACCAGTAAGTGGCGACAAATGATTGTCTTTACAAGCCAGTCAATGATTCAACACATCTGATTCATTCTAAAAACAGATTCATTCAGGAATGAAAGAAGTGACTGTCTTTATGAGTGAGTCAGTAAATCATTCCCTCAACCAATTAGTTCCAAACATTTAGCTCAAAACAAAACACCAGAAAAAGAGTGAGTCAATTAATCGTTTACTCAATGATTCATTCAAATTACTGATTTATTCAGGAATTGATCAAAAACTGTCTGAATTCAGAAAATAAAACATACTAGTGACCTACTTACTATTTGTACTACATCTATTATGGCAGAAATAGTAAGAGTAATATGCTAGTATCCTATTCTGAATTCAACCACTGATTCATTTCAAAAAGAAACAAGTGACTGTCTTTATGAGTGAGTCAATAAAACATTCCTTCAACCAATTAGTTCAAAACATTGATTTATACCAGAAAAAGTTATGAGCTAGTCAATTAATCATTTACTCAATGACTCATTCAAATGACTGATTTATTCAGGAATTTATCAAAAACAGTGTCTGAATTCAGAAAAAACACATACTAGTGACCTACTTACTATTTGTATTATATCTTTATATGGCAAAAAATTGTAATATTTTATGCTAGTATTCTATTCTGAATTCAGCCATGGATTCATTGCAGAAAGAAAAAAGTGACCTGTATTTATTCAAATGAATCATTCAAAAACATGCATTCATTCAGGAATGAAACAAGTGAAAATCTTCGTAAGTGAGTCAACTAATAATTTACTCAATGATTAATTCAAAATTACTCATTCATGCCAGACTGAAATCAATGAATCATTACCGATTCATTCAAAAACATAATTCAGCATACTACTTAGTATTTGTACTAGGGCTGTGCCAGCCGGTATCCATCCAGTCAACATGCTTCAGGTAAGTATAATCCATTTATTTCCATTTAGAGTTTCCACTCTCACAAAGCAACCTACCGCCATGCGGTTGGACAATTGTTTGTATTAACTGACAGGCATCTTAGGCTGACTACTACATCCCTTTAAGCAGGACCCTACAGGTATTATTTAGGTGCAGTGACCGGTATGCAACACTAGAGGTAGGTATTCAGCTCAAGGACAAAAATGTATATGGCAATCACAATCTCAATAAATTTTACATATTCTACTCAATTTAAAAAGGCAATTAAGGCAAAATTAAGATGGCTTTAACAAGGGCCTACATGTTTTATGGCCAAAACAGTTAGAGCAGTGTGCTATTCTGAATTCAGCCACTGATTTTTCCAAAGAGAAAAAAGTGACCGTCTTTATGAGCGAATCACATGATGATTCATTCAAAAACATGGATTCATTTAGGAATGAAACAAGTGAAAATCTTTATGAGTTAATAAATCACTCCCTCAACCAATTACTTCAAAACATTGATTTATACCAGAAAAAAGTCTCTTTATGAGTGAGTCAATTAATAATTTACTCAATGATTCATTCAAATAACTGATTTATTCAGAAACTGATCCAAAACAGTGGATGCATTCAGAAAAGCATACTAGCATACTACTTACTATTTGTACTATTTGAACTATGTCTTTATATGGCAAAAATAGTAAGAGTTGTATGCTAGTATCCTATTCTGTATTCAGCCGCTGATTCATTCCAAAAGAAAAAAGTGACCCTGGCTTTATAAACGATTCAAACGATTCATTCCGAAACACAGATTCATTCAGGAATGAAACAAGTGAAAATCTTTATAAGTGAGTCAATAAATAATTTACTCAGTGACTAGTTCAAAACCACTTATTCATGCCAGATTGAAACAAGTCTATCTTTAAGAGTGAATCAATGAATCATTAGCTTAATGATTCATTCAAAAACAATGGCTTAATTCAGCATTCTATTCAGTGTTTGTGCTATATGTTTAATGGCAAAAACAGAGTAGTGTGCTAGTGTGCTCTTCTGAATTCAGCCACTGATTTTTCCCAGAGAGAAACAACTGACTGTTATTATGAGTGAGTCAAATTCACTCAACTGATTCACTGAAACAATGATTCATTCAGGATGAAACAAGTGACTACTGAGTGAATCATTATATAATTACTTTTTAATTAGACTAAAGTACAACATTTCATCATCATTCATTTCTCACTTCGTCAGACATCTCAGATTGTTCACAGAGCATATCGCAATGCGGGTAGGATTGCCTTTTCCTCAAAGGATCCATGAAATGCCAACTTTGGTCAAAAGGAGATATCTTTCAGAGATATAACAGTGTGTGTAACTATGCCTACAGTGATATCTGTTACTGTGATGACAACCTTCATCCATTCTGACGTCATCTACATTGATCTCATCCACCCTGCGTGTATGTCAGAGCAACTGGGAGTAAACGTGATGCTTGAAGGGTTAGGTACTCACCCTTCCCGGGTGTTCTCGAGGCCAGACAGCGGGGAGAGATGGTGGGGGCTGCCAATGTCGCGGTCCAGGTGGGGCTGCCTGGGGGTCAGGTCAGGTCCAGAAGAGAGCAACTCAAGTGGGGCTCCATTGTGTGTCGTGCTGGAGCCGGCATACAGGCCTGGAAGACAAACAAAACTAATGCGCAAAACATGCCTGATAAACCTCAAGGAGCCCTCAAGAACGGCACATTGACCAAATTAAATCTCCACAAAACAGCCCTTAATGGCAACAAGCGCTTGTTATGACAACACAAACTCACCACGGCCCTTTTGGATGAAATGCAATGTTCCTGTTCTGTGCTGTTAGCAATTTACTGTACATGATTTATGTTGCCGTGCGGAATGGATTTGATTGACTGTTGCTGTTTTGAACGTAACATCTTTGACAGATCGGTTCAATTTTAATGGAATGGCAGAACTAATAAGTAGAGATAGATCTACTTGAAGCTACTTGTATTGAAATGAAAGGAACAGGTAGGCTGGATCTTTAGCCAAGGACACATAACCTTGAAGCGAAAAACAGCGGACACATCAACTTCATCCGCAGTTTATAATGGAAATAACAGTGTAGATCAGAGCTCCAAATTCTCCAAATGTCATCCCGCCATAGATTATACTACTGTACTCAAACTGGGCCAGATGAAAATGATAGTCGCTCGTTCTGCAAAGGGGCTTCTACCGTCCCCGGGCTTCTTGTGCAGCCTGAGAGACTGACAGGCGGACACTGTTCCCGGTTGCTCCGGCTGTTAATGTGTTCCTCTGAATTTGCCCAGTAATTGTTTTCCCAGAAGCCCTCTGGAGGGACGGCTGTGCATTGACGGTCGTCAGCGGCTCGTCCCAGCAGCCCTTCTCTTTGTGCTCCTCTTCAACTGCTTTACGGTGGAAGCGGGGCCCATCTGACAGTTTTCTGAACTGGTTACAAACTTGATTCATTACCCGAAATCATCAATCAAAGTCCTTAAATGCTTTCCCCTTTAGCCCTAACATCTGCTACCAGACTGGGAAGCATTCAACAAGTAATGGCCATGATTGCTTTAGTTGTTATCTGCTGGAGAGAGGGGAGGGGTGCACCAGGAGGCAGAATCAGACTCTAATGGCTGAGAGTGATCGTGAATTTCTAAATAATCAGTACATTCATTCATTAATATGCGTTCAATTATTAGTATAGGTTTTCATGAATGAAATTCATTTCTAATTTCAAAGGCAATTTTCTAATTAGATTTTTTTTTCTATCACACAAATGCACTTACATTTCTTAAAAGTTATACATATTATTTCCAAAAAAA